ACAGGACAAAAACAACCCCAATTAACGGGTGAACATGAGCAACGTAACCAAGATGAGCCATCCACAGGACAAAAACAACCCCAATTAAAAGGTGAACATGAGCAACGTAACCAAGATGAGCCATCCACAGAACAAAAACAACCCCAATTAACGGGTGAACATGAGCAACGCAGCGAAGATGAGCCATCAGAACAAGAACATCCTTCACCAACGTTTGAACATGACCAACAACACCAAAATCAGCCATTCCCGGGACAAGAACAAGTCACAACACCCAGGAACAAAACAGACGAAGTAACTGAACAAACTCCAGACGAAAACATGGATATCGACCTTAATCTAGAAAAGCAGCAAAAAATCGATGAGGACATGGAAATAGATGATGAGGATCAGCAAAACATATCCACAAAGTTTTAATACAGAGTTAATTCCATGATCTTATGAGATCTCTAAAAAGAATGCTAATTAGATAAAATCATTTTAAAAACATTTCTCCAGGTTACTTTTTCAAAGAATGAAATCGGGTAAAAATGAATTACCTAGTAGAACAAAATTGCATGAATGAAAATCGATATTAGTGCAGTAAAATGGATTAACTGTCCATATGTATAAAAGTGTTCGTTCAATAACTTTGATTAGAGTTATCCACACAACAGACCATTCAGTAGGCTTTAAAATTTATCAATACTTACAATAGTCATGTCTTTATTATTATAATCCTTTAGTGGCATGTCAATTTTACAAACTTTGATTTATATCGTTATCATCATTATAAATCGCTGTGGACAATATATCCTATTAATCTGTTTTAATACAGATATTTATGCTTTCAACCATTTAGTGTCAAAATAAAAGTTATCTTGATTTAGATAAAAGGCTCAAGGAAACATATTATTATGTTACAAGGTTAAAATGTTACACCGTACTAACATGACTATAACCATAAAACATGTGTCTGATAGTTGTACTCAACTTAGAATATCATTTATTCGATCATTAAATCTAGAAACACTACTAAAGTAGTATTTTTTGTATATTTATTCATGTATGAAGAGCTTTTGCTGCATAGAATATTGAAACGTCAATGATTTTATCATTACACTGTAACCACAAATTAACAATCAGTTATTCTAAATTATAAAAAAGGGAATGTTAGGGATGGTTGCAAGATATTTACCAATGAGATACGACATACGTTATGCAATGACGGAGAGTACCATCTCCCCCTATGCAGTCCCAGCTGCAAATGCAAATGTTCAAAAACACTCAATCTCCACTTTCGGGATTAATTGTCGATTTTTGATGAAATTATAAATGATCGAATTGGAATTTGATTTCAGCGCTGAAGACACTGTAAATCAATTTACCTACCTACATACTACGACATACCTGACTCTCTAATACTACATCTTCAAGTGCATCAAATGGCCGGGATCTTCTATCTTATATTGATTTCTTAATGATCTTAATGATCATTCTCATAAACTCATCAACATTGAATGCATATAATTAGGGAATTTTGCGTGGAATTGCATGGCTGGGTCAGTTGTATGGCCCTGAAAGACAAACAACACATGTCAGTTATGCAAGATTCTGACATGTAGCTGATAAGTTTGCGATTTTTTTGTTTTCTTTTGCATATCTTTTGCATAACGCCATATTTAAAGAGAACAATATTTATTTTTACGTGCTCAAGTACTATTTATGACCCGAATTCTTAGATTGCACGTTACGTCATCGTGGCCATGTTGGTGCCATTTAACAAAAGATTTCTTATTAGCACCCATTGTGAACGGCACCACAATGGCCGCCATGCTTTTGTCTTTTGGCTCTCTCTTGGGAATACTTGCAATCCATCAATAATCACTCTAAACACGCTTTCCAAAAATTACATACAAAATATAGGAAAATCCTCGTCTTTGGTCGAAACATAATTTTCTACGACTGCATAGAAACACTACATCAATGCACGTTACTTGATTTCAATATAAACCTCTAAAATTTTGGGGAAACCCCTTTTTCTTGGAACAAATAGCTTCCTTCTTTTCTTAGAATTACATCGATACATGTCACGCAGAGCAAACTTCTTAAATTCAATCAGGCGACGAGGCGACAAGATATATTGATTCGTTTTGCATATTCGAATTATAAACAACTTTGTAAAAGTGGGGGAATCCCCGCTTTTCGTAGAACTCATCTTTCGTTTCCAAGAATAGGATTTCGCCTTTACGCTTGCGCAGCTGTCATGGTTTCTATAGGGATCAAAGTGTCTTCATGCTCTGGTCGTTTGGTTCAGCGTCGACTATTCTTTAACAATTTTACACAATACTACCGAGCAATGAATTCAATACATGTAATTCCATRTTCACGAAGCCGAACTACGAACATCCAAGATCGAAGTACAGATTTCACATTAACTATATTTGAAGAAGATTTCATTCGTATTCAAAATCTAGTTAGCAAGATACCGAATGCGGAAACTGGAGGAAACCTTTTTGGCTTGTGGACRAATCAAGGCAATGCCGTCGTTCGTGTTGCTACAGGACCTGGTAAGAACTGTAAACGAAGYTGYGCATCKTTCTACCAAGACATACCGTACATGAAGCGAGTCGGTAATTTGGTCACTAAGGAGTATGGATTGTGCCACATAGGCGAGTGGCACTCTCATCACCAAATGGAACTCTWTGAGCCAARCTYTGGGGAYTGTAATACTGTACAACGAAACTATCCAACAGGATCTCAAGGATTTATTCTCGTGATTGCAAATATCCTTCGCGGCAATAGCAGAGTAAAGCTTTCACCTTACAAATTTACCGACGAGCGGTCTTCTTATAAAAGGGGAGACATCGAAGTTTTAAGAGCAGAAAATCCATTCATGAAGGTTACACAGATAATTAGCGCTATCGAGAGTGGTAAAGAGGAGAGGATATCATTGCAAGAATCGTCAGGAATAGTTGCAAATGAATATACATGTCTTCCTGATGAAAAACAGAATTACAAAGACAAACATTTAAAACAAAATTATCCTTCTTCTAGTCCTTCCAATACTCAATCGCTCTTGCCAAACAAAATGTTAGTCAGATCATCACCACATGAAACACAAATAAACCATCACATGAAGAAGGTTACAGACCAAGTGGATATAAAAGGTTTCGCGAAATATCCTCCTCCTCCTGCACATCCAAAGAACTCGTCCAAGAGGTCCCCACAGAAAACTAGTGGGATTTCTGGTCCATCACCATCACAAAGTATTTTGCCATTCAGAACAGAAAAGCTACAGCAAACTACCCCTCGCGTAACAGCGCCAAAGAGTCACATTGCTAGTGCTTCAGTGTCAGGAGAACGAAAGCAAAGTTATCCTGCATTACATTCAACAGCAAATTCACAAGAAAGATCCCAGGTACAAACTGATCATGAAGACATATCGCGTTATAACCGCACAACTCAATGGTACGAAATACAACCAGAAACCTTAAGAAAAACCTTGGATTTTGTGAGATCCTTGGCTGATGACCAGAACACAGTTAACATATCGAGGTATAAGTCAACATTGGACACGACCATGACATTTACACATCATAATTATGAATGGTCAATATACTTTCCCGCTGACTTTCCATGTGGATCTGTGAAGCTAAACAAGAAGTGTGGGTCTTTTTATGACACTTATCAAGTAGAAGGGAGAGGGAACATTGATAGATTCAAGACCGAGTTGAAATTTATATTGCAAGGCCAGTGTGCGCGATGTAAGAATTATAATACCAGGTACAATCATAGYAACAGATACTACTAAAATAGTAGCGTTAAAAGATTGTAGCGAACTGAGAAGCAAAACAGACATTTTTGGCTTACTACTTAGGACTCTATCATTTTTTACACTTACAAATACCACTTTCATCTCAACAAACAATATTAATACATCTAATCGTGTAAAGCTTAAAAGATTAGGGTCGCATACCACCTACTTTACTTCGTACAAGGGCTAGTAAGCGAAAACGCCTTAAGAAGCACCAGTAATTAAGCAGTCTAAGTTATAAGGAAGGACTGTTTTTTTTTTGTTTGTTTGTTTTTTGTTTTTTTTGCTTTTTATTGTATTGCAGTTACGAATATCTTTTTAATCATATGCTTGCCATGTAAATATAGTGTAGTATAATGGATTACTGTTCATCTGTATAAAAGTGTTTAGCAACAAACCATTCTTTTTTTTTTACATTCAGTAGGCTTTAAAATTTATCAATGCTTCAAATAATCATGTCTTTTTGAATTTTCATATAAATATATTTCACTAGAAGTGAGAAAAAGGTTTAACAAGAGAAAATGAACTAAGAGAAGGAATTCCCCCTATACAGCCTTGTAACCATCATGTGCACAGTTTGATGCTATTTTTAAACCTTTTTTTTTTTCTGCACGCGCAATTACTGCGCGCGCTCTACGCTGTTTGCTTACGTTTTGGGGGTTTTTCCGTTATTTCGACTTTGCCCTGGATATGAATGTGCACGTCGAAAGATCGGCAATTACGACAGGAAATTGAAGTAGTAATTTGTTTAACTTTCTGTTTTTTTCACATTTACTTTCCAAAGCTTTCGACCTACATCGTCATCTTGAGGGCAGGTTTGAACATTTGAACATAAGAAAAGCACAAGAAAACGTTAGCCGACAGCGTAGAGCGCGCGCGTACTATGCGCGTGCAGAATAACAAACGATCAAATAAATGATATCATTGGATGATATTTTTAGAATAGCTTCTAAAAATAGCCTCGAAGTGTGCACATGATGGGGCACGGGGATTCCTTCTCTTAGTTCATATTCTCTTGGGTTTAAGGTATCGTTATGACATTCCTCAAAAATAAACGTTATCAAAGATACACCATCATGATCAGTTATACTACGTAACTCCGAATATCATTTATTCTATAATCTAAAATCACTACTACATAGTTTACCTTAGTTTGCCTATATTTATCATCTATGAAAAGCTTTTGCTGAATAAAATATCCTTTGTTGATTTTAAAAATCATTAAAAACGTCAAAGATTGTATCAAGAGCCTGTAAAAACGAATTAATAATCTGTTATTCTAAAATATCGACGGAAAATGTTAGAGATTTAGTCTATTAAATGTTTTAAAGTAGCAATAAAACACGACATACGTTATGCAATGACGGAGATTACCGCCTCCCCCTATGCAGTCCCAGCTGCAAATGCAAATGTTTAAAACCACTCAATGTCTACTTTCGAGATTGATGGTCGATCTTCGATAAAATTATAAATGATTGACTTGGGATTGGATTTTAGCGCTGAAGACAATGTAAATAATTCACCTACCTACATACTACAAGATACCTTACTCTCTAATACTACATCTTCAAGTACATTATAGGACAGAGATGTTCTATCTTATACTGATTTCTTGGTGATCTTTTTCTTTTCTCTCACTAACTCTGCTGCTTTGTAGATCATTCTCATAAACTCATCAACATTAAATGCATAATTAGTAAATTTTGGGTGGGCTCCCATGGTTGGGTGATGGCCCTGCAAGACAAAAAATATATGTCAGTTATTGAGACTTTGCGACCCCCATAGCAACGGTCAACGCCACGACGGGAGGCAAGTCCTCCTCTGGCAAAAAAGGTTCATTTTTATGCTGAAATCGTTCTGAACGAGTATAAGACGCGCATTCAAACTAGGCAACAGTCTCCTTCACAATTCCCTGCGCCGTCTTGAAAGGTAGCCGAGCCTTTGCATCGAAGCGAGACGAACGGTGAGTTTGCAATGATAGAGACATGTGGATAATTATCCAAGGTGTTAAAAACAGGTCTCTATCATTGCAAGCTCACCGTTCGTCTCTAAATGTGTTTTGATGTTGTTCATAATGATGATGTTGAGAATAACGATGATAATGATGATGATGATGATGATAGCTTTATCCATCATACCTCATCTTCCTGAAATAGTTTATCCTTGTTTTCCCATGTCATATACGTCATTCCCCTGAAAACAAAAATACAAATAAGTTCCTGCATGACCAAAACTGAACTACTGAAGGTATTGAAATCATTTACCTAATTATCTGATAAAATAATTACAGGTTGTTTGCATTATCTACCTTAGGTTTGCTAGATCTCTATAGCATTCTGGGTCTTCTGTATTATAGCTGCAACAATAAAGAAGAAGAAAATCACGGGTGATTACTATTTACCCGGGGGGGGGGGGGAGAAATATCCGGTTGAAAAAAATGGGATGTTTGATTCTGATCGGAAAGTTCAGTAAAACTCGGTGTTCCGATTGAGGTAATCCACTCAGTTTTCCCGCTCTTTTCGATTCTTCCGGTAGACGCGTGTACCAATTGTCGGAAGTTAAATTTTCCCGCTTTTTTTATCACTAGTAAACGAATTTTCATCCGGATGGATTGGTTTAAAAGCACAACTCAACTTCAGTTTGGAATGCACATTTACTTTCCATGCAACAGGTAGTAAATTTAAAGGTGGAAGAATGCAAAAAGAGTATGTTTGGTCGATCCAGAAATATTTCTAACTTATCAAGCGAAAAGTGATTGGAATCATTCCAAGAGGTGGGAAAAACTAAGGTATATTCTAGTCATTTTCATTAAACTTTACCCAAAACTCTTTTCACACGACATTTCAGTTACATTTCTTTGTACTTGGGTTAGAAAGAGAAATAGCACCACTCTCTTCCCTTTGGGATTGATTTAAAGTGCCTATGACCCCTAACTCAATGTTTTCAGCATTGATTCTACATGAAATAGTAAAGTATTTTCATATGATTTGAGTGATGCATCTTGAAGATATCAAGGTTTATACTTCCATTATGCTAATGCATGTGATGTCATAGGAGGCATTATTGAATATACGAAAATTTACTGTGGTAGTAAAATATTATGTATAAAACATAATTATCTTACTCAGGGTTTATAGAAAGGTTTTGAATTTGTTTTCTCATAGTAATCAGTGTTTTGATTTTAAATAATGACAAATAAACCCAAATGCCTACTATGACATCACACTCATTAGCATATTGAAAGTATAGACCCAAACTCAAATCATATAAAAATATTTTACTATTTAACTTTTAACTTCATGTAGAATCAATGCTGAAAACATTGAGTTAGGGGTCATAGGCACTTTAAATGCCAGTCTTCAGTCTAATAACTTACAGTTCAAATACAACAGCCCAGTCAGGAAGAAAAAGCATGTGAGTGAGACCAGAACCATGAATACCAATGAAGATATCTGTGTTGTGGGTAATCTAGAGAAAATGACAACAATCTCTGTTACAAGTCTTTTTTTATTTATTATAGTAATATATGGATAATATATGGATGTGCATAACTGCAAACAAGTACATTTGAGAATACGTTTGCCACCATGTATTTGTCTTGATGTATATGTTTTCATAATGTTTTATTAAATAATCAATTTTACTTACTTTTAACTGTTCTAGAAATGGCATCTTACTGTAAAAACATAAAAAATAATAATGAATAAAATGATAAAATGAAAAAAATATTATTATGAAATACCATTTTATGCATTGTTGTGAGTTACTGTGCTACGCGCCAAAACATAACACTTCCACATTTTTTAAAAATCTTTTTCACTTTTTTTTTCAAAACCTTTATCAGGCATGATAAAGTTATCGATTTGACGATGAATATTACGGGTAGTATCAGGTCTGATGATGGTGACATGAGGACACCGAAACGTTGTYTTATTACAATATGTTACTACCCGTAATATTCATAGTCAAATTTTATCATGACATTTAACAATATCTCTGAGACACGAGTCTTCGACCGGCGAGGTAAATATTCCTAGATATTCACTGAGCCTGAAGCGAATAATTGTTTTGGTATTTTCAACACAAGTGAAATTTAATAAATAACGGAGAGAGAGTTTTGTTTTGTTTTGATTTTGGAATTTCATCTCTGCAAGCGGCACACATCGACAAACGAGCGTGCGCGTGCGCGTGTTATATTCACCTGTAGGTGAATATAACATCATAACACGTAAATTGTGACCAATCGGCGCGCCGGATTTATTATATTAACTTGTGTAAAAATACTAAAAACAATTTAGCGCGAGCACTGATTGGTTAATCAGCTAGCGTGAGAATGCATCCAAAACTCAATGGATTGCACGCTGACATGATTGAGATGCACTAGCTATGTAATGAAGATCAAGTTTTGTTAGAAATCCATAAGCGTAGCACGTTTAATTTGCACTGGCACTCGTTACTTACTGATTGAAGTCAACCATCTTTACTTTAAAAACAGGTACGCTCTCCATGGCTCTAAAAAGCTGAATATAGACAGAAAAATGAAGACTCAATAGAAAACGTGTGTATGTGTTGTATGCAGTTATAAAGCAAGCGGGGGTTGGCAGAATACGAGAGGAGAAGCATGACTCTTGGGTTCCAGTGGTTACCCAGAGGTTACCTTGGTACCCTGGGTTCCAGAGGTTCTTTTACGCTTCTTTTGACGAAAGAGCGTGCAAACGCCGGAGCGAGAATAAATAACCTCTGGACCCCAGGGTAGACTCTTAGTGGAGTGCTTCCAATGCTAGTTCTGCCAAACCTCAAGTACTTTATAACTTAAGTTTTACACAGTACAGCAAGCAAGTTTTCTTATTTGCTTTTAATTGTAAACTAGTAGAGTAGCCTTTATTTCGGACATGAGATGACGGTATGAAAAGTGCACATGTGTGCTGTATACTCTCACAATGCACGTACTTCCAACCAATCAGAACCAATCAATAAATTGAGAAAAAATCATCAAATTTATTTCGATTCAGTTCAGTCTTTTCAGTGGTTATGTAATTAAGTAACACATATACCCAAGCCTTAAATGAATATTTTGCTTGATAGCCTTAATAAGGCACAGGAGTCGAAAGGCTTGACTAGCCCATGGTTGCATATATTGTTTTACAGTGTATAGTTTCAGGCAGAAAATAATTGAGCATTCACCGAGGCAGTTTATTACCATGAAGGTCTAGCCCTGCTACTCTAAGTTCAAGTCTATATTCTCAAATACGTTATAATAATTGACCAACCATCATACCTCATCTGCATTGAGAATTCTCCTATATTTTGTGTTTCTTATCAAAAGAGTAATTCTGATTTCCTCTTCCTGTATGATTATTAAAATGACATATAAGAGTATGACTTCCTTAGGAATGACAATTTATTATATACTTAGCATAGTACGCTCGCGCTGATTGGTCAAAAAACTGTGCTTTATTAGTGAACGTAGCACAGTGCTGACGCCATCCGCGTTCGCGAAGTGCTGCCAGATCCTGCGACAATCTTTCTTTTTGCGTAAATAAATTAAATATCGAAAAAAATTAGTATCTGTATAATAAAACAAATCTATTAACTATGAATAAATAAACAGCTTTTTCCGTGCTCCATTCAGTAATAAAGCACTTAAAAAGACTAAAGAAGTGTAAGAACCACTTGCCTATGGCTCGCGCTTCTCCTTACACTTCCTTCGTGCTTACGTCACTTCCTGCGTGCTTTACTACTGACGAATGGAGCATGGAAAAAGCTGTTTTATTCGTTAAATACAGTAGCACTTGGAGTAGTGAACTTTAACTAAAATATCTATTTGTATACAGTTATTATAATACCTCAATATGTTTTACATCAAGTCGATGCATAACATGATGGGAAAATGTTTTAAATAATCCACTTCCCATGCAGCCAGGTACCTATTGAAACGAAGGAAAGGGATTAAAATTTTTAAATCTTACTATTTTTCATTATTATTCGATTTAATTTTGATCTTTATAAAACCTGAAGGGCAAAGTATAGAATCTGTATAAAAGCTACTACAGCTGTAAGTGGAAATAAAGATTTAGAGAATCAGTCAAGATGTATGCTGTACACTAAGGTCTTTTTATTCCCTCAATGATTGATAGTAATTAATTGTGTCAAGAAAAGAAAGGACATTTCCAAACTCAATATTTTTTAAATATTTTTATTACATGGCTAATATATATTTTACAAACATCCATCACTCCCCAAAAAGGGGTGACTTTCATGGGTGTCAAGAATCAAACCTACGACCCCAGGGATATTGAACTACACTGTAGGAATAAACAGCAATGTAGCAGGTACATGTCACCCAAATATTATGACTTTAGATACAGTGATTAACATAAAAAGTGGGGAAAAAACAATGTATGTATAAGTATAAAAGAATGTAAGTCCAAAAAAGAATATTTTCATACCAATGGCATATTGAAGTATAAACCAAACACCTTTCTTGGTAAGATAGAGAATACTGCATCTTTGAAGCAAACCTTATGAAACACACAATATACAATCATTATACACTCTCAAAACATAACCCTGTCCCATTAATTTGTTTTATCATATTGTCAAATTATCAAAACTGAACTCACCCTTTTTCCGTCAAACTTGTCAAGTCTTATGATTGGATGACGAGTGAATGCTTTCCAAGTATCAGAAAAGAAATCGTGGTAAGGTAGTGAACTCTAATAAATTAAAATCATTAAGATCAAAATTTAATTTAGCATTTTATTAAGTTTTTCACTATAGTGTTTATTTGCATGCACAGACAGCTATTACAAGCAGCCAAAAATTTATATTTACCCCTATTGTACTGCAAAACACAACAAATCACAACCATGAAGATGGAGTTTGTAATTTTGACTAAATCTTTAAACTCAAGTAAATCTCTAAAACTTTAATGCAAAATGTAAATATATATTTTGTACCCAAATGATAAATAAAGTAGTTAACAACATTCATGTTATAGCAGATCTACAATCACTAGTAGCCTCCTCCGCAGGCGTCTTTCGTCTCTTTTTTGTTGAATTGGGTTTCCTGTGTCGCGAATTGGGATTCACAGGAAGCCCAATACTCAAAACGAGAAGAGACAAGAGAGATGCATGCGGAGGAGTCTAAATCACTTGCTTCCAGCTTGTAAATCTGATACAACACTGCCACTCATACTGTATATATTACTTACAGTATCCCACATAACAATATTAATATCTGTAGAGAAACTGCCATTCACATGCTGTGAAGCAAACATGTTGATAAAATCGCAAAAATGGTGGTACATACTGACACCTGGAAGAAAGAAATAAACAAAGTATTCTTAGATGACAGTGTTTCAGTTATTTACTTATGTCAATAATTTTTGATAATTAATAAATTACTTATGCATTATACACACACCTGCATCTAGTTTGATTAGAAGAGTTGGTTTCTCAATAACGATGTCACACTTGTCATCTTCAATAGGTTTGAATGGAAGTGATGTATAGTGTTCTAGTTCTGCATACCTTTAATGCAATTATAACAAACTTATATTAGAAAACTGTAATATATACTCATTTTAATAAAGTCAAAGTCACTAGAAAGTTCAGACCACCAAGGATGGGGAATATTTCATATGAAATGAGTAAAGCTTTTGATACAGAGTGCAGCTTGAGGATGCTCAGAGTAGAACCATCCTTGCTGGTCTGAGAGGGGTCTGTGTATGTTTGTTTGTTTGTTAGTTTTTGTTGTTGTTTTCTTTTTGTTGTTGTTGTTGTTGTTGTTGTTTTGTTTTGTTTTGTTTTGTTTTTCAAGTGATTATAACTTTTATATATTTGCTATCACAGTTCAGGACTGAAGTCTGTAAAAACACTAAATACATTTTTTTTTCATATCAAGAGAGAACTCTTTTCATTTTCAAGCAGTGAGCACCAAAAACTATTTTCTTGAAGAAAGGCTGTTGTACAAGGCTAAAATCTTGTTATTCAGAAAGTTTAACTTGTTTGGAAGTGGAGATGACCAATGAAAGTGGAATTAAAGTGTTAACCCAAAGCAAAAAAGTTAATTTTATTCAAAAATGAGGTTTAGACTGTCATTTGCTTATTTCCCATATATTTTCTATAAAAAAGCCTGACAAAGCAACATTCTAACACAAATGCCGCAACAAAACATCTTTGTATGATTGAAAATACCGCTTCAAACAGGCATTTTATCATAGTACATCAGTTTCTAACTGTTTAAAAAAGGTTTTGAGTGTTAACCCAAAACGAAAATTGGGATCAAAACTAAAGTCTATAGTTTTGGCGCTTTTTGCCATTATTGCTCATTATTGAAAAAAATTTCCTCTTAATCAAATAATACAGAGGTTGCAGACCAAAGCTGAATAGGAATTGTTGGCTTTCAAATAACTAAAACCACATAGAAGAGGTTTGTGATTATTACCATGATTATTACCATGATTGCAGAGCACTTTTGTGTGCATTTTGACTATGGTGAAGTTTCTTGTTGAATTCACAGTGTCCACCAACTTCACCCTGTTTGAGGACATCTTCACGGAATCTAAAAACAGAGAAAATCAATATTTGAAGCCTAGATTAAGTGTACTTATCTTACACAAAAAAACAACATGCATTCATTTACCTATCATTGGTATCTTTAGGCTTCAGTCTCCTAAAATCTATGTACAGGTTTGTAGCACGGCAGAAACACAGGTTTTTGGAGCAACTCAGTGATGAGTCACTCTGGAAGAAAAAAATATTAATAATTTTATAGTTTAATAGGTATTGAGTAATAAACTTTAAAATACTGTTAATAAATTATCTTTTTCAATCAGCTCAAAAGCCTCATTATGACTCATACCACCTGGAATAATAAGCTCTTCCTACTTCACCTTATATAACCTGATCAGTATCAGACCTTCCGGAGAAAGGGAGGGGAAGGAGAGCCTGATACTCAGGTTACACCTGATAAGAATCCCTTATAAGAATCCCTACACATCCATGTGATAAAGAAAGACCCAACGACAAAGTTGATCATAAGGATTTTCGCATGCTCACTCACTGCATGAACTGTTAACATTTTAATTATACAGATTCTCATTGATCCTATATAGGTAACTGTCCAATTATTTTCTTAATTGGACAGGTCTTGTTGATATGGGATTAATTAGGCAGCTATATAATTAATAGGTAATGGGATTTCATGTTCCCCAATCAAGGAATAATTAGACTCAAAAAATTCCTCTGACTGCCAAATAGAACTCGGCCAACAGCCTCAACCAATTTTGTCAGTCCTCATAATTTTCCTCATCCAATTATTTCTTAATTGGATAGCATGGAGTCCTATTACATATACTAATTCAAAAAAATCAGATTTTGTATTTTTCTCAGTAAAATATTTTCAACCATTTACTTACAGGTTCTTTAGGGATACAGAGATTATACATTTGGTTCTTGATGTTCTTAACATAGCCAAAGTCACCTTGCTCAAAGAACAGGTTCTTTTGATCTTCTATGGTCTGGGCCCTGTTTAACAAGCAATTATAATTACAGTATATGAAGTGTTCCTATTTTTCATTTAGGCTCAATGGCTATATTTACTATGTATGACACAGAGTGAAGTGCAAAGGATTTCTTCTTAATCACCACTACCTTCCCCATTATATTTCAAATACAATTTTTTTAATAATATAAGGTCTTCAAAAAGTTTACTTCAAAATTAATTTAAAAAAATTGAAAATTCTAGGCTACAACATCTACTTTGCAGCACCCCCTACCCCCAATCACACATGCTGTAAAATTCTGGTTTAAAATGCCCTGTTTATAATCCCCTCCTTTCCCCCAAGGTGTATGCCTACTACTCTGCTTAATGCTACCAAACCCATTCACACAAAATTACGTCATTATAAATATACTGATATGGTCATAAGCCCCCTTCACCCTCTTCTCCCC